AACTCATTGAAATGGGAATGGTCGGTGAAAAGATGGGCCTTTTTAAGCTAGACAAGGTATTTTCCGAAGTTCATGTCCTCTCCAAGCGTAAGTATTGGGGTGTTAAAGAAGATGGCACAGAAATAAAACATTGCATGAAATAAAACATTGCATGAAATAAAACATTTTTTAAAACCATATATTTTTACATATATGAAATGCTTCAGGTTGAAAAACAAAGAACAAAAGTAGCAGATACAAAACCGTTAGACTATATCTTCACAAATGCCGGTAGGACTATATCAGATGAAGAAATTTCATCCCGTTCTTACAGATTTGACTATCCAGTTCGTTGGCTTCAAAGTCCTTCAGATGCAAAGGCAATAGGATTTAGAAGAGTTTTGTTTTCAAATAGAACGAACGCCTTCATGTTCGCGGTATATTTTCATGGTCAGTACAAAGGTTCTGATGGTCTAATAGAAAAATTTGACGAAATGAAAATCTTTACAATCCGTTCAGACGAAAGTCTTGAAAAAACTCTAAATGACTTTCAAACTCAAATGAACAAATACTATTGGGAATTTCAAGAAAAATACCACTCTTTACTAAATGGAACATACTATCTGAAACTAGAATATAACAAGATGAACTCCACAGTTTCATTTCAAAAGATTGAAATTAACCCTCCAAGAGATACAGAGTTTTTATATTGGGGAGTAGACAAGCGTTTCTTGGGCACAATTTCTTCGGTTACTAAACCAGAACGAACCATTACCACCAGATGGTCCATTTAATTTTATACTTCCACCAGCAGATTTGACAGTTTATAGAAACGTGTTTGACCCTCAAAATGTTATGTGTCATGCAAGTTTCAGTTCAAGCAACAACAGTTTTCTTTGTATCGTAAGGACTTTTATGACTTTGCTTCTAAATTCTACGAACCACCTAGTAACAGTTTCTCTGACTTTCAAGTTTGGTTCACAACAAACGGTGTGCAGCATATTATTCCACTGTACTATGACTTTTATCTCGAATTGTCTTTCATATACAACTACGGAAAAGTGCTGAAAAAGTATTGAAAAATGAGTTTTGGTTAGATGTTTTTTTAGGTGTGCCCATGTGCCTATGTGCCTCGGTCATTTTAACTTCTCTGAAAAAGTGTGACAACATGACATTTTGACAACATCGTAGAAAACACGCAAAACTCTTGAATTTTGTGCTGAAAAAGCAACCGCCGGAATTCCGCGGGTTGGTATATTCTTCACAAAATGCTTGTTTTGAGGTTAAGCCATTTTTGGCCCCACCGTAGAAAACACACAAAACTCTTGAATTCGGCAAAAATATATTTTAGGTGAAGTGGTTTTTTAGGCGACCAGGTCACCAGGTCACCAGGTAATTTTAACTTCTTTTAAAAAGCGAGACAACAAGACATTTAGACAACATCGTAGAAAACACACAAAAACTCTTGAATTTTGTATAAAAAAAGCAACCCGCGGAATTCCGCGGGTTGGTATATTCTTCACAAAATGCTTGTTTTGAGGTCGAACCACAAACGGATGTCCGACGGTTAAGCCACAAACGAATGTCCGACGGTTAAGCCACAAACGGATGTCGCTAAAATTTCATTAGAAGCTGCAGAAGAGAGGTTAAAGGTTTGGGGTCGTTTTGTACAAAAATATTGTGAGTAAATGAACCATTTTTTTCGGCAAAAATATATTTTAGGTGAAGAACTGAAGTGTGCCTATGTGCCCATGTGCCTCGGTCAAATGAACTTCTCTGAAAAGTGTGACAACACGACATTTTGACAACATCGTAGAAAACACGCAAAACTCTTGAATTTTGTATAAAAAAAGCAACCCGCGGAATTCCGCGGGTTGGTATATTCTTCACAAAATGCTTGTTTTGAGGTCGAGCCACTTTTGGCTCCACCGTAGAAAACACACAAAACTCTTGAATTTTGTGCTGAAATATATTTTAGGCGACCAGGTCACCAGGTCAAATGAACTTCTCTTAAAATTACTGACAACAAGACATTTTGACAACAGTCCAGGAAATAAACTTCTTCTTCGTACATGTTTTGTTAAGACTTCTTCGTACATGTTTTGTCAAACATGAACGTAAATGTTTTGTCAAGACTTCTTCATCGTAATGAGCGTAAATCAGACAAAAATATATTTAGGGTAGAAGGTTAGATCTAACCTGTTTTCTAACCTGTTTTCTACCCTCTTGAATTTTCATGACTTTTCCCGAAATAAAAAATAAAGTTAGTTTTATTTTTTTATTTTTTTTTTATTTTGTATAAAAGAACAGAAATGTCAGTCGAAGCAACAACACTTCAAACAACAGCACCAAACTCGTTAGTCATGAATCCAACATCTATGTTAGTAGAAATGAAAAGCTTCATTCCTTCTTCATATACTTTCGAAACAACAATCCAGAAGATAAAGCAGGAACTTTTAACAAGTACTTTGGACTGTTGTGCGAAAGATGAACAAAATGAAGAATATCTTTATGAAATGCAGGACATTATTGACCATTTACCCAAATTGCCTGAAATTCAGCAACAAAAGCTCACTATTCCTGAATTCGATGAAATAGAAGTCAAAGCAACTGACTCAGTTGAAATAAAGAAGTTCATACGAAAGGTAAACTATGAGTTTCTTGGATTTCATTGCAACCACAAAGTCATGGACAAAGACTGCGACATGTTATATAAGAACATCTCTGACATATATAAATCTGGGGAGTTTAAGACCTACGACAACTTTGTTTCGTTAGTTGCTGAATGTGTATGGCAGATAAGAGATGAAGATAGAAGAGGTAAAGTATGGAACCAACAGATAAAACCCGCAACTTTTGAGTTAAAGAAAACCATTGACGCCTTAGTCATACTTGCAGGTAAGGTTTCAGAATATAACGCAAAAATGAACCCACAATGTTCAAAATGTAAAGCAGCAACAAGGAAATATAACTACTCCGTCAAAGAGATAGAACGTATGAGAAACGACTATGCTGACTTAAAGAAAGAAGTAGAGAAACCAGCAGAGGATAAAATGGACATGTTAGAATTTCTGAACAAAAACTATCCAACAGCAGAAGATTTCCTTCTATCTGACGTCAAGAAGAAATATAAAGAAACCTTCGGCATAGTTAAAACATTCGATATCCTCAGCGAAGAAATAGAAGCTACAAAACTGTTTAGAGTCTCACGAATTCATAACGTTTACCATGTAAAACGCTTATAAAATAACTGGGGTAGAAAAGAGGTTAGAAAACAGGTTAGATCTAACCTTCTACCCTAAAATATATTTTTGCTGAAAAATGACCAAAATTCTGAGTAAAATAATTTTTAGGGGTTGTGTCAAATCGTTGAGTTTTCACAAAATTTAAAAAATAGCGTTTACCATATACTACGCTTATGAAAATCGTGAAATTTTTGACGAAGTGAACTTTAACACTTCGTCAAAAAAATAGCGTTTACCATATACTACGCTTATGAAATAACTGTTTTTTTGACGAAGAGAACTTTTGCACTTCGTAAAAAAAATGACGTTTACCATATACTACGCTTATGAAAATCGTGAAAAATTGCGAGTAGGTGAAAAACCCTGGTCGCCTAAAAATGACGTTTACCATATACTACGCTTATGAAAATCGTGAAAAATTGCGAGTACGTTAAAAACCGTAGTCGCCTAAAAATGACGTTTACCATATACTACGCTTATGAAAATCGTAAAAAATTGCGACCCGCGGAAAACCGAGGGTCACCTAAAAATGACGTTTACCATATACTACGCTTATGAAAATCGTGAAATTTTTACGAAGTGAACTTTAACACTTCGTCAAAAAAATAGCGTTTACCATATACTACGCTTATGAAAATCGTGAAATTTCTCTAGCCCGATTTTTTTCGGCCTTGCATAAAACTTATGAAAATCGTAAAAAAATGCGAGTAGGTGAAAAACCCTGGTCGCCTAAAACACATGAAAATCGTCAAAAAACTCTATGAAATCATGAATTTCCTCAAGATAGAAAAAATAAAAAAATAACGCTAGTTTTTTTAAAATATTTTTTTTTATTTTGTATGTAAGAACAGGAAATGACAAACACTGAGTTTGAAACAGTTAAAAAGATAGACAATGAGACCAAAGTGGTTAGAATTGGTGATTTAAACGTAAGATACTCAAAGAAATACAAGAAATATTCTTTGTCAGACATTTTAACACTATCTGAAAAGAAAACATCCCACGACTGGGTTAGAAATGCTTCTACTCAGAAAATTTTGACAAGAAATCCTGAGCTTATGATATCGGTAAGATTCTATGGAACAAGAACATATCTTATAGACAAAAGTCTTATACCACTAGTTTTGTTCTGGATTGACCCAGTTGTTGGATATAATTTCATAACATATGGTTCATTCGATACGGAACGTTGCAGTGAAGGCTTACTTTACATCGTTCAGAAACCGAAGGACTTCAATACAAAGAGATATAAGATAGGAAGAACATTTAATATAACTCAAAGATATGACAGTATAGTCAATAGAGTTAAGGTTGTGTTTGTTAACGATATGAGAGCTGCTGAAACAGAACTACTTGAAAAGTTTGAGAAAATGTATGGTGCTCCCACGAAAGGTAAAGAAATGTTTGAAGTAGATGAGATAGCTAAAGCTATAAAATTATTTGACGAAGTTGCTGAAAAATACATGTAAAGCGTTTATTTTTGGTCTTTTATACAAGATAGAAAATAACGCTAATTTTATTTTTTTTTATTTTTTTATTTTGTATGTAAAGACAGATATGTCAACATCAGAGAACACAACAACTGCTATCGTTCATGAAGACATAAATGAAGAATACGAGTACATACAGTTTAACAAACAGTTACGTCTCATTCGTTCGGTCAAAGATGACATGTACCAAATGCAAAGTATTTTGAATGCTCTTCGTTCTACAAAGCAAGCATACCATTGGTTTGAAAACCAACAGACAAAAGAACTTTTAGAAGAATTTCCTCATATGTTTGCTACCCTCGGAAAACCGAGGGTAGAGATTCCGTACGAAAATCGCAAGAATTTGGCTCCTGGTTTGAGAGGTTGGTATGTACATAGACTTTTAGTAAATGCTGTTGCAATGTGGGCTTCACCTCGTTACGCTTGTTATATTTTCATGATGTTAGATGAAATTCATAGACAAGAACGTGAAGAGCTAGAGAACAAGCTTGAAGCAAAAGATGAAGTCATTGAAGCAAAAGACAAAAACATACAGAAAAGAATACCACGTTCGGTACCAAAAGGAAAGGAAAAGAACTATAAGTATATGATTTACACTGAAGAGATGGAAAATGAAGAAGACAGAGATATGGTTATGTTGCATTTAGTCAGAAGAAACAACAAAAGCTTTTACGACCTTGCTAAGATTTACAAATCTGACAGAAATTGGTTCTATCGCGAAAACTTACCGATTTCAATGACACCGAATGAAGATGTTAAACAGATAGTTCAAGATACTTTACCTCAAACACACTATGATATGAAAGGTTGTACAATACTTACATTCAAAGAAGATTTACCGCTACTGAAAGAAAAAATAACAGAGTATTTTGACAACTTCAAAGAGGAAGAGTAAATGAACCATTTATTTTTCAAGCTTGACACCAAAGATGGCTCAGGTAGCTCAATGAGGTAAATTGTCTTGTCCGAGTCCTTCTGGCAATCCGAGTCCTTCCTTCCGACAGGAAAAGTTTTTCTTTCCAACAGGAAAAGTTTTTCTTTCCAACAGGAAAAGTTTTTCCTTCCAACAGGAAAAGTTTTTCCTTCCAACAGGAAAAGTTTTTCCTTCCAACAGGAAAAGTTTTTCCTTCCAACAGGAAAAGTTTTTCCTTCCAACAGGAAAAATTTTTCTTTCCGACAGGAAAAATTTTTCTTTCCAACAGGAAAAATTTTTCCAGTTGTCCGTCCGTAAACCATTCAAATTTTCGAAAATTGAGAACTTTTTGGCCGACCTTCAGGAAAAGTTTTTCCTTCCAACAGGAAAAGTTTTTCCTTCCAACAGGAAAAGTTTTTCCTTCCAACAGGAAAAGTTTTTCCTTCCAACAGGAAAAGTTTTTCCTTCCAACAGGAAAAGTTCTTCCTTCCGACAGGAAAAGTTCTTCCTTCCGACAGGACACAAACGAATGTCCGACGTACCACCAACCGAGTCCATTCCAAAGCCAGAAGAACCGACAGCCCCAGCACCACAACAGACTAAGACTCAACACTTACATTTTTTACGCTTGACTTTTTACAATTTGAACTTTGTTCGCGTAGATGTGAATTCTGAAAGAAGTATGAGGGTCTTGTATGACTTTGTACCTCTCCCATAGTTCATGTCTGTCAAACTTACCTGCCATGGACTCTTTCATAAGTTCCATGAAATCGTCTTCGGACAATCCGGGGAAAAGTACAATGTCAGTAAGTATTCTCTTTACATCCTTACTTAAACTCTTGGCTGTCTGTACACAAATGACAACAGAGATGTTAAAGTGTCTGAGCTTCTTAAGAATTCGACACATGTCTTGTTCTCTATTCTTTAACAAAGGATGAGAAGCAAAGTCATCTAAGATAAGAAGACATCTGTGAGGGTAAGTCTTCCAATCGTAAGATTGCAATTTCTTCGAAATGTATTCTATCTCTTTCTGTTTGTTTCTGAAGTGTTTCTTCTCTAATATTCTCTGCATTTCCTCATTTGGGTCTTTAAACTTCGAATTATATACTCATTTATAGCATTGTACTTCAAAACTCTTCTTTGGTACTTCTTTATCCAATCTAACAACTCAGAGTCTTTTATACATACTAGTTTTGACTTTTTATAATATCTTTGAACGAATTGACGGTTTGGTCAAATTGACCCGAAGTACTACAAATGACAACTAACTCATAGAATGGGTTCTTCTCATCTAGTTCTTGTTGTTGTGCAGCCATTTTAAGATAAGTGAAAGTCTTACCCGACCCAGGTGGTGCAATTAGACCTGTTATACCATTCTGAGCAAATAAGAACTTGTCATGTATGGGTTTTATCTGAGCATTTTCCAACTTCCTCTTGTTCTTATTTAAAACATTCTCAAATTTCTTGTCAATGTCAGCAAACTTTTTTTCTAACATATTTTTAGAAAAATTAAAACTTTTATCTTTTAGAAAATGTCTAGCGATTTCGCCATCTATATTCGAGACAAGCTTTTCGACAGCAAAACATCTGTAGACCATAAAATCTTACATAGTGTAAACAAGAAAGGTGAATTTGTTCTAAAGTTCTGTTTCTGGGAATATGACAAGAACCATAAAACATTAAGCAGAGCAGTCTTAAAATTTGTCAATGACAGACTTGTTGACAGAGATGACGCCTCTTGGAGAGATGAAGTCCAACAAAACTTCTTAGAATGCAAAGAAGACACATGCGCTGTTCTTGAAGATGAAATAGAAAACAGAATAGAAGAGCTATTAAAGGACAAAGAACTTTTACAAAAATATGGTTCTGAGAAGTTTGACATAACTCCACCAGAAAAGAAGAAGAGAGAAAAGAAAGAAAAGAAAGTAGAAGAAGAGAAGAAAGAACCAGAGCCAGTTCCACCGAAGAAGAAATTTGACATGTAAAAATAAAATTTTATTTTTAGAACATTTCTGGGTCAATGTCAATGTTCTCTTCCTCTTTAGGAGTAAACACTGGCTTAGACTCTAAAATCTTTTTACCCAATTTACCTTGAACTTCTACAACTTTAGACTCATAATATTCATAGTCGTCTGCTTTCTTTGGTTCATAAGGTATAACAAGTTTGTATGCTTTGCCTTCTTTAAGGTTTGAAAACCTTCTGTCAAAACTTTCTTTGACTGTTAACAAACCTTCTATGTCTAAGTCTTCAAATTTCGCACCATTTTTAGTCACAATAGCAAACTTAACTGGTTCGATGTTCCAAACTTTGTCATATGTAGACTTTTCAAAATGGTAGAAGTAAACATTCAAATATGTGAATGGGTCTAGTTCTTCTTTAAGTCCTGACATGTACTTGTTTACTGAGATGAATTTCCATCTTTTCTATCGGATAAAAAAAATATATTTTTTTTAAAATTTACTCAGAAAAATTTTTCTTTGTATATACACCATTCTGTACGTCTAAAAGACTTTTGACATTTGCCAAGAATGTTCGTTTAGACGCTGTCATATAACCATACTCTTGACAATACTGTTTATACGAATCGTACAATGACCTTTCATCTAAACACTCAAAGTCAGTTTCATCTATGAACAGTTCATATACACTCTTGTTTGCTTCTAACAATGTTTGTCTCTCTTCGGTATGTGGAATTTGTCTTGGATTGAACTTAGAAATATCTAATGTCATGAAATATGAGAACAAGTGGTTGTAAAAGTCAGATGTCAAAGTTTCTGCTAAGTCGTCAAAATATTCTGTATCTTGCATATGAGAATCTGACGTTCTGACAACTACATATCTTCTGTCAGAACTTTCTAACTTCATCGGAACAGCATTGTTTGAAACCATGACGAAGTTTGCAACATTTTCACAAACTCTTTGGTCTTTATATTTTCTTTCAACAACTCCAACTTTGTCTGTTATAAGACTCTTCAAAGCATCTGAGTTCAAAACTTTTGTTGTATCTATACTTTGAAGTTCGTTACATACTATAAGTTTCATATTCTCTATTGAAGAGTTAAATTTACCGCAGATGTTTTCTAAGTTTGTCATATTCGGTTCGAATAGCCCTCTAACAGTTTGCATAAATATCTGTAAAGAAAGTGTTCTTACCAGTTCCTTGTTTTCCAATTATGATGAGAGCAGTTTCATTTTTAGCACTTGGATGTTGTAAGATGTTTGCAAACCAACATAAGATATACTCATAGACTCTTTCGTTTCCATTGCATATAATTTCTTTGACATGGTCTAACCAAGCTTCTATAACATTTTCTTTCCATTCTACTTGTTCGTATTTATATCCAGTGAAGATAGAATAGAAGTTTGGAGAAGGTGTATAAAACTTTATACCACGAACTGAAAAATCTTCTAACTTTGACAATAAGATATCCCAAGCATCTAACATCTTCATACCAACTTGTACGACTTTTATTTTCTTAAGTTTCTGTTTACATTCTTGTTCAGACACTATTGTTGCTCTTGGTTTGTTAAAGACAACATCCCATTCTTTCATGACATAACATTCTGGGGCAGAGTCGACATAAATGACTAAACGTTTCAAATTCTCGACTGCTTTGTTATAGTCTCTAAATGGACACATATTTCTGAATGTTTGGAAGTCATAAAAATCTGAAACATCTATTCTGTACATTTTTATAAAAATAAAAAAAAATATTTTTTTTATTCTTGACTTTTTGTTGCATTTGTTGTTCTTGAGCTATTTGTTGTTGAAGTTGTTCTTGTAATACAATACTTTCACCAGTTGCATCTTCCAATTCGAAACTTTCTGCCGTCATTGACAAATACATAGGACATAAAAGTTTTACAGGAACAAAGTTTGCGTCAACTAAGGTTAAGTTTATGTTTGCTAAAGTGTTTGAGTTTACTAAAGCTGAAAACTCTGCATTCGAATGAACAATAGGCAAACCAGCAGAGAATGTGTTGTTTATACGCATGAGTATCTTTTGGTCATAGTAGTTTCTGTCGACATTCGAATAGCACTTTGAACCTAAGTTTGAAACAATATATAAAATAGGTGTACTTAAAGTCAATGGAATAGATAGACCTTGTATGACACCTTTTCCTGTTATAGGAAACTGTTGGTAGTAAAAACCAGATATAAGTTTTGTATTATAGCTCATATCGTTTATACTAAACTCAGTCGGACATCCAAACATAATGAAACCTGCTCTAGTTGCAGCACATGTTACATCCGTCCTTAAAGTATTAAATAAGTCAACAAAACCTGTTGGTGGTATATCTGAGTAAGTATCTTCAAAGAAGTATTTTTTACCATTCACAACAACAAAGTCTTCTGGTGTCAAAAGAGCAAAACAGGCTTTAGTCGTCATTGTGTTTAAGGTTAGTTTACAATATCGTCCTTGAGGACTTTGTAAGTTTGTTGTTATAGAATTATATGACTCAGGGTTTTTAGTCGTAATAGTATAAACCACTATGTCTTCTGCCATTTACATATATTTAAAAGTTTTTCTGAAAGTGGAGAAGAACTTCATCTAAACTTTCACATGGCGTTTCTTGAAGTTCTCTGTCTAAGAAGTTCAAATATTTTGTAAAGACATAGAACTTTCCTTTGTCTACACGAACAAACAAAACAGGGTCTTTCATATCGTTCAAAAGTGTGTAAAGTCCTTTACATGAAATAAAGTCTATATTGTTTTCTTCAAACATCTTTCAAGAAGTTTTGACATTTTTACTTAGCAACTAAATTTTAATGAAATGTTGTGGTCGTCAAATATTTTTATGACGTCTGGGAAACTATATTTTAAGTTCAACGTCTCACCTCCTTTCATAACGTATATCTTGTCAATGACATTATATGAAACACCACAGCAAGCAATGTCGGGTTCTATTTCTTTGATGTTTATATCGTCTGCCTCTGTCAAAAGTTTCAATAGTTCTTTCAAAACTTCATGAGGTGCGATGACATATGAGTTCACTTTTACAGGGTTGTGTTCGACCAAGTTTAACATTATACCTAAAGCTTGACAAATCTTCTCCTGAGTTTTAAGTTTGTCTTTAAGTTGTTGGTAGTCATTTCGAATATCTGCAACAGAACTTAACTCTCTGCTAACTTCAGGGTATGTTGGTTGTTCTTTTACAGGAACTATTTGTTATACCATCTTCGTCTTCGTATGGTTTCCCCACTTCAACATCTCTGTCTTTGACATTGACAACAACACTTTGACTGTTTGTTTGAGTTGGTGAATTTAACTTCACATCTGCCACCGCCATTAAACCTTTTGAAACACTTACGCTTCTATTTTTCGGAAATGACATTTTACTTAGAATAAAAAGATGGACGTATTCGAGTATCTCTTCGAATTGAAGCAGAACAAAGTTTACACACACAAACAATACAAGTTCATTGACAGAATAGTTCTTTACACAAACAATGGAAAATGTTATAGAATAGCAGTCTTTGCTGAACCAAAATATTTTCATAAAGCAAAGAAAGTTGGTATAACCGAAATGGTGAAAGTTCTTGAAGCAGACAAAAATATAACAACAAAACTGACCGATATTTCTAAAGGAAAGTTTATAATACAATTTTATGTCAAAACTGGCGTACTGTCAATATTTGACGGAGAGAAGTCAGTTCAAGAACAACTTACTGACCTGCTGCCAAAATCTGCTCGATGGAAGCTGTCGTTATGCCAATCTGAGGAGCTCCAGCAGGTTTCATCGAACGAATCTTCAAAAGAGCATCTTCCGTGAAAAGTGCTATTGGTTTTGTAAACTTCTTTGCTTTCAATTCATCTGGACCGTCTCTGTCACCAGTATATTGTATTTGAACTGTACCAACAGTTGAAATACCACCCATAAAGTCTTCTGAGTCAGCAAATGGAATGCCAAGCCAAAAGTTTGAACGGTCTCTATTTGTATATTGAGTTTTTTGACCTCCTGCATGGGTCCATACTTTCACATATGGCATAATAGAACTTTGCATTTCAGGGTTAATGGTTGTTGTGAAGTTGTTGTTAAAGTTCATAGCATCTAATGTCAAGTTGTATGACCTCATATCTTCAACTGTAGAATATTCTTCTCTTGGATAATATTTGCCATCTATGTTTATATGATATTTAATACCGGGGTTGTAGAAACAAGAATAGTCATTTATAGTTCGTCTGAACAGTACAAACATAGTATCTGCATGTTTCATTGCAGTTGTTAAAGCAATATCCGTTCTTGCACCTGGGTCAGCACTTTGGTTTCCAACTTCACCTGCAAAGTCTTTGACAGATATTTGGTGTATAGGGAACATAAGTGGAACTGCAATATATTTGGCAGCTAAAGCATTTGAAATATCTGGGTCCAACATATAGACTGCAAGTCTGCTTTCTATTCTCTTGCATTCAAATTTTTCGCATGTGAACTTAACTGGGTCCCAAGCATTCCAGCAGCATTGAAATAATAGTTTACTTCAGTGTTGAGGTTTGAGAAACCAAAGTCTAAGTCTACCTTATCTTTGCAAAAGTCGGCGAATGACGTTTATTTGTTCCCACTACTTCTGTAAGAGTGAATGGGTCTTGTGTTGGTGCAATGACTAAGTTATTTTTGCTTGGAGTAAGTTCGATAGAAATTTTTCCTGCCCAGTTTGGCAAGTATCTTAAAAACCTGAAGATGAGGAAAGATGACAAAGGGACTCTAAGTTTCAGTTTTACTTTGGTTACTGCTGCTGCAGTTTGTCCAGAAAGGTTAACATAAACTCCTGGAACGTTAGGGTCAAGTCTTCTTATTTTCTCAATAGTTGCATACTGGTCTGTTTGTTCTCTAGCTTGTGGTTGTACTGAGTTTCTCAAAGCGAACCATTCATAGTTTGCCCATGTTACTGTTTGAACTAAGTCAGAGTTAGAATATATCTTATATCCCATGAAAACTTCTGGAGCATATTGGTATCCGACATAGAAAATTCCATTGCAACCTTTCTTGTCAGACAACTTGGCAGAAGGTTTTATTTCAATGTCTTGTTCCACGTATAAGAATGAGTTGTCAATAGAAATTATATGAAACCTGTCGCAAGCAATATCTACTGTTGTTGAAGAACCTTCTCCAAACTCACCTACGTTTCCATAAGAAACAGCAGTTGTATATTCGTAAGTTCCAGGAACTATTTCTGACCTTCTAATGGCATTGTCGCATTCGTTATACCATTCGGAAACATTTCCATTCATGGCATCCAAAACTGTTGGCGTTATATTCTGAGCGGCGTACATTTCATATGTGTAAAAATATAGAATAGTTGGATTTATGTGTCATAATAGAACCCACGTGGACCAAGCTTTACTTTCTTCCTGACTGAGTTTTTAACTCTTCTTTTTCCTTCATTGCCACTACTTTCACTAGATGAAGTTACTTCTTCACTACTTTCACTTTGTTCTACTCTTCTCTTCTTCTTTGGTGTCGCTTTTGGTAACTTGCCCTCTGCTTCAAGTTGTTGCATCTTTGCCTCATGTTCACCTAGTATGTTGTAAATTTCCCATGTCCTTTTTGCCTTTGGGCTCTGGTCGCCCATCTCAGGTAACCAATATCCTAGAAAGAGTTTGTCATAGTTTGTATTTGAGTCTTCGCGTATTGTTTGCATGACTCTTTCCTGAGTTTCCGGTTCAAGCTCTTCAAACAGTGCCTGTCCATATGGAATAAGCTCGTTTCCAAATATATGTTTTTGTAGCCATTCTGGCTTTCTTTCCATGTTACCAACTATATCTTTTGTGAATGGGAAAGCTTTTACCCAATGTTTCAGTCTTGCGTCATTTATTTCTGTAGTTGGTTTTATTTTGTCAAGGAACATGTTTTTCAATACTAACATTTCATTGGTACTGTCCATTGAGTTTTCTTAAATATTCATCCCTTCTCAGTTCATTGTCTGCAAAGTAAGTTTTTATGACATTTTGTAAACTTTCGTTTGCAAGGTCATGTACAATAGGTTCTCTTCCTTCTCCCTCCCTAACTTTCTTTCTAAACTCTTCACCAAATATACCATCTCTATGGTTCTGTGTAGTTCTTTGAGATAAATGTTTATAGAACGTCAGGTGTTATATTTCCATCAGCCATGTTCATTTCATACTGGTCCAAAATATCTGCATCTTTCATATCTTTCAATGGCATTAAAGCCGCGCTTAAAATACCAGCTATATCTGGTTCACCATTCACTTCCATTGCGTCTACAACTTCTTGGAATTGAGGTTGTAAGTTTATGAACCACCTATCCGGGGTTAGCTTTATGACCCCATCTCATTGTAGTTCCATAGTCTGCAGAAACAAAAGTAGGTTTGTTTCCATCTTGGTTAGGTTCTGAATGAACTTTAAACAATGTTTCATTTCTATATGTTTTCTTGAAATTTAACCTTTTATTTTCACCGAGTTCATCCGAAGATTGAACGTTAAATGCTCGTAAGTAAAAAGGGTTGTTGTATTTGTGTACATTTTCTTTCAGTACTTCCATTCTATGCTGAATATTTTCATCTGGTGTTGGAGTCTTTTGTATGTCGGCAAACATTTTTCGATATTCTTCTACTATGTCAGCCGAATTTTTTTTAGACTCTTGGAAAGATTCCATATTCTCCGCATACACTTGTTGAGGGTCAAGATTTTTCGGCTGTTCCAAATCTTCATCTAGTTCTGTGAAGTTAGTTTCCAAAGGAGTGACTTGTTCGTTTCCTTCAGGCTCTTCTAGCTGTTGTTGCTGAACTATTTCTTCCATGTCTGGTTGTATCTGAACTTCTTCCTGTGGAGTTTCTTGTACCTCATCTGCTGGCATTTCATATATTCCGAGACCGTTTTTAACAAGTTCCCTATCTAAGTCATCCGGACTCATAAACCTTTCTTCTTTCGTTCCGTCTCTATTTTTTACGCGTTTCATGAAGAGAGTTGAATTGTCATTTAGCTCTGACACCAAATATCTCGGAGTAAATTCAGTCATGTCATTTGGATGATATGCTATTAAATCATATCCCTTAGCGAGCTTGTATTTTCCAGGTTTGAAATTATATCCCATTTGGTGCTGAGCCATAAAGCTAAATAGGTTCGGGTCAGTATTTCCTTCCTTGAACTTTCTAATAGCTTCTTTATATCTGTCACTAAAGTCAAGAGTATCTGGGTAACCATAGTCTTCTTTAAGCATTTTTAAGAAATCTTGGTTTCCTTGTTCTCTACTTCTTTTATGTCCTTGCTCTGTTTGTTGTTGTTGTTGTTGTGCAGGGTTTTGAACTGTTGGTTGTTGTTGCTGTGCAGGGTTTTGAACTGTTGGTTGTTGTGCTGGTTGTTGTTGTGGTGCTGGATTTTGAACTGTTGGTTGTTGTGTTGGTTTTGGTGCATGCCTGTGTCTGTGTCCATGTGACGATGTAAATGTTTTAGGTAGTCCTGGTGCAGGTGCTTCTCTTGGAGGGTTTGGTGGTATATAAATTCCAACAGCTGGTATATATGTTCCACCAGCTGGCACATATGTTCCATCTGCAGCGTAATGTCCTATCTGACTTTTCGTTCTTAAGAAAGCATTTACTAGGTCTGTTTTGGTCTGTTGTAACTCTTTTTCTTGACTTTTCACAACAGTTGCTCTAACGGCGTCATAGGCACTTTGAACTGCCTGTCTCGTTGCTGCATCTGTTATTTTCGTCATATTTTGTGCTACTTCTTTTAACTCTTTGTCGAAACCTTCAGACTTCAGTTTCTTTCCAGATGAGAAGTCGTTCACTAGTTTCACCTTACTATGAAGAGCTTCGAAGGCGTTCTTAAAGTCAGCATTTGTTAAAGCTTCATTTGAACTATCTTCATCAGCTTGTATTTTTGTCCTTATTGACCCTATAAGCTGGGCTGCTTTAGCGTTGGCTTGGGCATCTAACCAGTCATTGTTAGCTTTTATATATTCTGCGCTTTTCATTGCCTTTTGCATAGCCGCGTCGTCATTTTTACTTTCTTGTGCTAAGTTTTCATACTGTACGGTTTGGTTTTGCAACTGTAAAAGTTTTTCTGCCTTTACATTTGCTTCAACTTCTTTTTTATACTCATCGCTATCCATATATGTCTTCAGGGCTTTTTGTTTTATCTCTTCATCTTTCAGTACTTTATATTGAGTAGTATGGTTTTTCAAATTTACAACATCTTGTTCCATTTTTGCTACTTCTGCTGCTTTTTCTGACACTTTTTTCGCATATTCCTCTGTACTTAGTTCTTTCAGTTGTTCTTCTTTCTTCTTTTTCTCTACGTTTAACTCATTGAGTTTCTTTGTGTGTCTGTCATATTCTAGTTTCTTTTCGTTTTCACTTATTTGCTTCTGTATGTCTATGTTTGACTTTTTGACATCTGATATTTGATTTTTGAGTGAACTCAAATTCATTTGACTTTGAGGGTTATAGGCTGTTCCGTCTGCAGCTCCACCATAGCCTGCCATTTTCGCTAAAAGTGCCGCTCTTAAACCTCCACTCTGTGCACCAAGAACTCGGTTTAAGAGCATAGGATTGCTTGACATTTGTTGCAACATGGTGGGGTCATTCATTATTTGTTGTTGCAACTGTTGTTGTGGTGTTAGTTTTACTATTGGATGTTTCAATGCTCTCTTCCTCTTACGTATATTCTTACGTAGCTTACGTGGCATTTTAAGTGAAGTTAAAAAGCGGTTTTTGACAGATGTTTATATGGCACTTTTTGTTCAGCACAAAAAACTACTCGGTCAAAGTGTTGTCACCGGCTGGTCGGCTGGGGTTCGGTCCTCCTCTTGGGTCTTGTGTCCATTTCTTAGGGCTAGAAGGGGCGCAGCCCCTGGAAGCCCCTCATACCTGACCTAACATCAATTCTTTGATTTTTAACGCAGCCAAAATCGTGATATTTTATCTTTTTAAATAAAGATTCAGAAACGTTATTCACAACGGTTAATTCATTTGGTCTGGCAGCGGCTATCCACATCATAGCCAACAATTCCTTATACAAAATTCAAAAACTTGGGTGCAATCAGAACTGATTGCACCCAAGTTTTTGAACTTTCTTGAGGGAATTAAAGGGTGAGAGATTTATAGTCTATCTATATATCTCCCACCCTCTAATTCCCTCCCTGACAGCGGGAAATTTTGTCTGAATGTTAAACTATTCAGACAAAGTTTCCCACTGTTTGCGAAGGAATTGTTGGCTATGATGTACTGATTCATGATCAGTACATCATAGCCAACAATTCCTTATATAAAGTTCAAAAACTTGGGTGCAATCAGTTCTGATTGCACCCAAGTTTTTGAACTTTCTTGAGGGAATGGAAGAGTAAGAGGTATACATTATGAATATATACCTCTTACCCTTCCATTCCCTCTCTGACAGCGGAAAACTTTGTCTGAATGTTAAACTATTCAGACAAAGTTTCCCGCTGTCAGCGAAAGAATTGTTCCATCTGGTGCATAGAGTGTGAATCTATGCACCAAATGGAGCAAGTCCCTCGCGAAATTGCCAAAACTTGCGTCGCATTTCAAAGATTGCGACCCAAATTTTGGCGATTTCTAGTAGAGATGGAGTATTTTGAGTCACTGACCTATATGCAGTGGCTCAAAGGGCTCCATCTCTACTTTGAAGCAAGGAAACTTTCCTCGAAATTTTGATAATTTGAAGAAAGTTTTCAAGCAATTAACAAAGGATTACTCGCTATGAGGTAAAAATTCTAGATTTTCACCTCATAGCGAGAGCTTCCCTTTCATTGCTTGAAAACTTTCCCCAGCTTCAAAATTGGGGAAAGGGCTGTAAAGTCGACTCCGATACCAGCAGGTACCAGAGTATTTAAAAGAGAAGCCCTCGTACGAGTTTCTATGAAGACCTTCTCATTCAAGAAGATCTTAATAGAAAATCGTACGAGGGCATTGGAAACTCGCGTCTGGTACATGTTGGTACCAGAGTGTTTGAGATTTGAAGACTCTGGTACTAACATGTACCAGAATTTATGATGAATTTAAGATGGACCATTATAAAATGGTAGCGGTTTGTTTCAAAAAAATTTAGATGAGATTTGCATAGATATAGATTATATGATTTATACATATGAAAAATAATATATAAAAATATAATTTTGAGATAATTATGTAAATAATATTTTAAATATTTGAATTTGAGGTATAATTTTATAGTAAAATATATTATAAAGAGTATTTATATAAATATTGTAAAATAATATAAGTAATAAAAATTGAGACCCCCTCCCTGTTTTTGATGTTTTGTCACTTTTTCGGTAATTCTTATTGTTTCATTTGATGTTGGCACTTGCCAAAAGGAACAATGCCAGAGGATTCTCGCGGCTGGAGTGTCCATCACACACAATGAGAGCAGGCTTGTCACGTATATCTTCTGGCATTCTCTGGCGTTCAAAGTTAAGCCACTCGATGAAGAAAATGCAATACAATAAGAATACACTTCTGTTCACCCAGCCTTTTGGCGTAGAAGTAAACCAACAATGTCTTTCGCGCTGGAATACTTTCAGTTCTCTAGGTAGTTCTGCAATACATGGGAGAACAAAGAGAGGTGGGACAGATTTGCCTGTCATTGAGCATCCGCATAAAGCTGTAATGTGCGGAAAGTTTGGAATTCCTTTGGCGATCATATGCTCTATCTCCTCAGGTAATGCAACTTTCTTCTTCTTAAATTTGTTTATGAATGTTTCATCGATACTAAAAATCAACTCCTCTGGAGTACTTTCGATTGTTTCACGATGTTTATCGTAGAATTCTTCGATAATTCTTGGTTCACACGCCATGTATCTTGATTCTTCAATCTCTTGGCATGCCTTAAGCTTGCAATGCAATTGCTGTAAAATATGGTTAACATAAGGTCTCGATACATCATCACCACCAAGAGTATTGATAACTTCTTCTGCAAGAGTAGGACAATTAATCTCAAGAAGGAATCTGTAACCATAATCTCTTCTGAGCTCTTTCAACTTGAACGCCTCGTCAATAATGTCAGCTGCTTCTAGAGCTTCACCTTTGTAAGCAGAATCTTCGATAATTTCTTTTAAAGTGAGCTGATCACGCTCGCATAGGTATGGATCTGCACCGCCATGATTCCCTTTTTCCCAGTATAGACCTAATGCAGCTCTTTTAAGTGCAGTAGCAATGAGATTGGATGTTAAAGTTCCGAGATCTGGGTATTCTTCCTCCCATGCAAGCTTAGTTTGACTATATGTCATACCTTCGGCGCGACAATTGATGATAAACTTTTGTTGTCTACCAAGAAATTCGACTGTGAGAAATTCCATTTTTAATTTTAAACGAGCACTTGAGCCACGTTTTATCTGACTTCACCAGTCAAAAAGCCCCTGTACTAAGTGTCATGTTTTTGTTTATTTTAAAGTTTCTGCCATGTAATGGTTTACATTGCAAATTTTTTGAATACTTTACATCACCATAAAATGGCAGTACAAGGCTAGTTTATCGGTACAAGGCTCTTGAAATGACTTTAATTCAAAATAAATTTTTACTATTTTGATTTGATTGTGCGATTGAATTGCTTATGTTGTGTGAAGGCATTTCAACAATTTCGGATTGATTTTAAAAAAAATGGTTGGAATTGATTTAAATTACATAACATTTCCTAATATATTGCTCATTTGAGAGTTAATCGTTTTTTCAACCGCTAGGTCAATTTTTTGCCAATTTTTTGGCACATGTTTGATCCTTTAAAGTCATCAAGATCATAGCTTTAAATTAGAGTCCCCAATATATAAATTGTATATATGATTCTATAGGGTGTCCAAAGGTGCGTTTAGCACAGCGCTCTATATGAGACTATTAAAGGAGATATATGCTGATTATAAATATATAATAAAAAATATGAATATATGTATATGATGAGTATGTTGTATTTTGGCGCCATGCCGGGATATAAAATGAATTTTGAGACAAGAGGCGGTTTCGCGGAAAATTTTGGCGGGATTTTTTTCATTTTTTTAATGAATCATAAAGAAAACATCCTCGCTCTTGCAAAAAAATGCAAAGACTGTAAAAAAATCTACGAGACATTGGTAAAATGCTTCGGTATGGATGCTCCTAGCTATTCCACTGTAACGTATCATGTTAGGATGTATCACTTCATGAACAAAAAGGCGCCCATCATAAAAATTGACAAAAAATCGCCGGATCAAAGAAAAATCAAAGCAATTCTTCAAGCGCTAGATGAAGACCCAAGAGCATCACTCAGAAGGATAGAGGAGATGACAAAGATACCACGTACAACAGTCAGTTATTATCTGCACAATTATTTGAACTACAAACTAGCGTATACACGTTGGGTTCCGCACAACCTTAATTCAGTTCAAAAAAAATCTAGAGTCCAATCTTCGAAAAAGCTCCTCTCTATATTGGGTGCGTATCAATCCAAGAAGTTTCGCTTTTTAGTAACAGGGGACGAGTCTTGGTTTCAATATGCAACAGAAGTCAAAATCATGTGGATCCCGAAGGATGAAAATCCGCAAACATTCCCGAAGAAAAAAATTGACACACCAATGATGATGTTGTCGGTTTTTTGGGGCGTGAATGGCATCATCGCAATTGATATTCTTCAAAAACCTAATACGATGAATGCTCAGTATCTAATTGACAATGTTCTTACTCAAATTATCAATTCTGATGAGTTTGAGAAATCCAAACAACAAAAACAAAAGTTTGCAATTCATTTTGATAATTCAAGAGTTCACAAAAGTCATAAGGTAATGAATTACTTGGTGGAAAACAATGTCAAAGTTGTTCCAAACCCAATTTATTCACCTGATATTGCACCCTCTGACTTTTATTTATTCGGCACGCTAAAAAAGAGAGCTGAAGGACGCGAATTCGCGAGTCCAGATGATCTTGAAAATTTTGTAAGAGAGCAATTTGAGCAATTTTCTCATGATGATTTAAAGCGTGTCTTTCAAGCCTGGATCGATCGCTGCGAACGCGTGATTGAATCCAATGGTGATTATATTTAAATAAACTTTATATATATGTAACTTGTTTATTTCTATTCGCAGTATTCAGGTTTGTGCTAAACACACCTTTGGACACCCTATATAATCATTATAATTTTTTATTATTTTGTTATTTGTTCAAACCATTGATCTATTCAATTTATATTTTTGCCTTACAAACTGCAAATATTAAATATATACGGTGATGACAATTATTATGCTGAATCCGAAGACACAAAAAAGAGAATTTAATCATTATTTAATTTTAACTTTAAATTTTAACCGAATTATGAAAATATTGCTAAAATCAATTCAATATTTCAATTCCTCACTTGAACTAGGTCAGGTATGAGGGGCTTCCAGGGGCTGCGCCCCTTCTAGCCCTAAGAAATTTTGCCCAAGACCCAAGAGGAGGACCGAACCCCAGCCGGTGACACTTTTTATGTCACTTTTCACAAACTATATATTTTTTCATGTTTCGTCACTTTTCTGTCACTTTTCAGGAAAAAACATTTTTATTATATATATAAAATGAATTTTACAAAACCACCGTTACCCTTCTTTGGAAATAAGAGTAGATGTAAAGATATTCTATTGAGAGAACTTAAGAAACTACCGAATGGTCTAACATTTGTAGACTTGTTCGGTGGAAGTTTCTATATATCCCATCTGTGCCATACAATATTTCCTGACTCAAAGATTATATGCAATGACTTCGACAACTATATGAACCGTCTCAAACATATACCAGACACAAACAAAATATTGAAAGAGTTAAAAGAAAAGATACCTATAGGTAAGATGGAACGTATACCATTAGATAAGAAAAATATTGTCAGAGAGGTTTTGAAAAAAGCAGAATATATTGACTGGGATAGTATATCTGCTAGACTATTATATAGTGGTTCTATAAGAGTTCATGACATTGAAACACTTATGTCAAACGTTTTATATCTTAACTATACAAAGGTTTTCAAAGAGGACATAGAAAAATATACTGAGGGTATAGAGTTTGTGAGATGTCATTGGACAGAGTTGTATGAAAAATATAAAAACAAGGAAAATGTTTTCTTTATAGTAGACCCGCCGTTCTATAACACATACGATTTTCAATACCAAGTAGACTGGACTTTGAGAGACTCTTTAGAAACTTTAGACGTTTTACATAACCATCCATGCTTTTACTTTACATCCGATAAAAGTGGTTTGGAAACCGTTATGAGATGGTTAGAGGACATACATGACTATGATTTTAGATATGACAAGATAGAATATGAGAGAGGTCCTATAAACCGGAAAAAGTGTCATAACAAAGAAATTTTATTGGTAAGTAAATGTGGTTTGAAATAGGACTACTTGTTTTAGGTTTTTTCCATTGTGTCATTTACTTATTTGACGTGGCAGAAAGATACAGAGAATATGAAGATGAACCAATGTCTGCAAATGTTCAGCATATGTACTCGTAAGAGATATTTTTATCTAATATTAAATGGACGCACAGAACTTAGCGAATGCACAGAAACCCGGACAACCAAACCCAGAGAATATTCCAAATGAAGTTAGAATACAAACTGCAATGGCAAACTATGGTCAAGTGCCAACAGATGTACAAATGCAAACTGCCATGTCAAATGACGCTGCGTTAGGTTTGCCACCATGGTATGCAAATATGAGATGGAAAGAGTTTTATACAAACCCTGAAGTGGGATATAAACAACTCTATGCAGATGACGCGAACACAGGAGTTGACCCAGAATATGTTTTCTACCAGAGGAGAAACAGAATGTATGAGCTCCAGTTAAAGAATGCTATGGAACTCAACAGGAAACGTAAGAGACTAGGCGGACATTAGATTTTTACATATAGTAAAATGGGTTTCTTCAGTAGTATTGGAAACTTCTTTCGAAATGTTGGAAGAGGTATATGGAATGGAATAAAATCTGTCGGAAGAGGAATTTGGAACGGAGTCAAAAATATTGGTAAAAGAGTAGGTCAGTTCGTTGGTATTATACCTAAAGACCCTGAACCAGAAGAACAAGCTCCTGTTATACAACAGCCTGAACCTGCACCACAGTCAAGTTGGCAACCAAATCCAACACCTCAACCATATTAAAATTATATTTTTACCGTTCGATAGTAGTTGTATATGAAACTAAGTTCTAAGTAAAACGCATGGTATAATGGAACTATTCTCTTTCTTCCATCTGTAGTAAACCATACTTGAAAGTCTGAAATACTTCCACTCGGTGGTTCATATAGCTTTGTAGGTTTTTCGTAAAAGTCATTTGCCAAGCATAAAAAAGAGTTTTGCGCACCAGAAAATGAAGCATGAACTATAATAGCATCTGAGTCGAAAACATTTTCATATGTTCCATTAGGGTTTTCGACTTCATAATAGTCCGGGTGTACTGGATACCATGCAGGCTGATTTAACATCCTCAAAAATCTATGCCATGCCAAGTTGTTATATTTTGTAGAAATATAAACGTTTTCTCCAAGGTCTTCTATTTTATTGATTTTAACAGTTGCATTTTTCTGTCTGTCATATATAATATCGAGATGGTACTCTCCCTCGTCAATGTTATACTGGTTTGCATATTCGAGATAGATATCGTTTATTTTTTCTTGAAAAGCTTGAAGAGTTGTTTCTAAGTTTACAAGCAAATTCACTTGTAAAAGTTTTCCCTGTTCAAATTTCTCATACGTACGTTTTTCTTTGTTATAGTATCGAACTTCAAAACCGACCGTAAATGGGAAACCATGTATGGCTTCTGAAATGAACTTCATTCTACGAAAGCCAATAGCTTTTGTGACGGATGGGTCTCTTAGCCATCTTAACGGGTAGTCAAAACGATAGCCTTCATGCTTTACGGTCTCTGTCTCAAACTTTTGACCGACATTCGTAAAAAGTTCATCTAATGGTTTAGTTGTAGCAACTCTAGAAGTTTCCTTTTCTATTGGAAGCATATTTTATCTAGAATAAAAATGTCAAATGAAACAGCGTCTATGAGAGAAATACAACACAACCGACAACTCATTATACAAGCTCTAAATAAGAACACAACAAACTTTTCAAACTATTCTAAGATATCTGAGTCATTGAAAGAAGGAAACTTAAAACTGACATTAAACCCAATGACAGATGAGTTTCTGTTTCAAGACAGTAAGAACCATACTGTTTGTATAAATCCAACAAAAGGAACCTTAAACGAGAAACCTATATCTGAACTTCTTTTGAAAGCAGATGTTGACAACAAAGCTGACAAACAGTATGTAGACGATGCAATAGCAAAAGAAGAAGAAAGAGCAGATGCAACATATGCAACGAAAGAACATACTCATCCTGAACTAGCGGACAAAACATATGTTGACAATAAAATGTCAAGTGAAGTGACAAGAGCTGACAAAGAATATTCTAAAAAGACTCATACACATACCATTGCAAATATTACAAACTTACAAGAAACCTTAGAGACAAAAGCAGATAAAACATATGTTGACGATGAGTTAGCATGTGTGACTAGTGCGTTAGTGAAGAAGGCAGATAAGGAATATGTGGATGAAAAAGATAACGAAATGAAAGAAAGGGTTGACTGGTACCATGAACGGACAATGAAGACTTTTAAATTTAAAGCCGATACAGGATGGGTTTCAGAATGTTTAGACCTTAAAGCAGATAAAACATATGTGGCTAGTGAGTTAGAGAAGAAAGCAGATAAAACATATGTGGCTAGTGAGTTAGAGACAAAAGCAGATAAAACATATGTGGCTAGTGAGTTAGAGACAAAAGCAGATAAAACATATGTGGCTAGTGAGTTAGAGAAGAAAGCAGATAAAACATATGTGGCTAGTGAGTTAGAGAAGAAAGCAGATAAAACATATGTCAATGAAATATACCAAAGTTTAGTTGGAACAACAAAAAATATTGAAACTATTGTTGGTGACTTTTCTATCTATGAAGAAAACAAATATTTTAGATGGGAGTTTGTACATTCCTTAAAAAATGGTATACGGTATAAACTCATTCCGAAAAATAACAATGAAATGTATGTAAGCTATAAAAAGAACGATGGTACACAAGTTAAAGTTCCATTAGACAACAACTGCTACTTAAACTTATATGGAGACGAACAAAAGAAATATTTAAGAGTTTATGAAATGGCAGATATGACATTGCCTGACCCAGCTCCAACACCATATTATTATAAGTATGGAGATGACGACAAAACACCGCATGTAGACCCAAAAAAGCAAACATTATATTTAGAATATTATAGATATAAAAGATATAATGCAATAGAAAAAACGAGAATAGTATACTATTATGAAGATGACAGAAATAAATATTATAGTCAAGACTTTACCTACCCTGAAAACATAAGATTATATTATAAAAAATATTCTGACACAAACCAGAAGAAACCTGAAATAGTTGCACTATATCTTAAGTTCAAAAGAGACAATCCTATAATATCTCATATGTTTGATTTAATGAACCCAGTAGGTTCTATTTATACATCTATGGATGAAAGAGGTCCTCAAGCAATGTTTTGGTGTTGGTGCATGGGAACAAATACTCGAAAGGTTTTTGTATTGTGCAAACTCTTCAAAGGAAACAGGTGGAAGCAAAAGGATATCTGTCGACAACTTGCCACCACATAGTCATTCTGGTACAACAAGTTCTAATGGAAACCATAGTCATAGGGTTTGCAAACAAGGATATAACACTGTTTCTCAGACTTCAATGCAAATTCAAGTTATGTCAAGATCTCATTTTCCAAACGACCCAGTAGACTGGAATGGAATGTGGACAGATACAACTGGAAACCACCAACATACTTTTACAACAACATCTACAGGACGAGGTAAAAAATACATGCCACCTTACATGACAGTTTGTGCATGGTATAGAATTGCTTAGTCGTCATGTTCCACTTCTTTAGCATATTCGTCAGGAGTTGTCTTATATTTGTTAGGAACTGTCTTTGAAAGTATACCACCTTGAACTTTGACAAGTTTGAAACGAGGTCTGACAATAGTCGTTTTATCTTCTGCTTGCAGTCTGTACATTTTGCCATGTTTGCCTAAAACTTCATAATATTCTCTTGTATACTTTCTTCTATTTTTACGAACACGAATGTGAGTACCTGTCGGGTACTTGTGTTGTCATAGTCAATAGTATTTTCATATGGGTCGCGTTTAGGTATTTCTATTTTTACTTTGTCTCCTTTCTGAAGTTTGAAAGCCCGGCATTCTTTCTTGTTTGTCTCTTTTGACTAAATTGTTAAATATATAGTCTTTCTCTAAGTCAGGGTTGTTTTCATTTCTTCGGGGATGGTTTCCCAAACCTTTTTGTTTACGGCTATTGTAAATATTTAAAACTTGTCTCATCTTTGCCATGGAGAAATGTCTGTACTTGTCGTCATATGACATTTCATCTACCTCACCACCTTGTGGTTGGTTTAAGTCTCTTAACATTTTTATACAACCGTCAATGACACCAAGAGCAGAATGGTTTTGGTCGACAATGAAATATTGGTTTACATTTTTTGAACGCAGATAGTTTTTAATATCGTCTGATTTGAAAGAACTTTCATAGTCAGATGTCAGTTTTGTTGGATGGTATTGTCAACGAATATTGTCAAAGCAGTTTTCACATCTAAAATATTTTTGGACCATAATGGTATGGCTTCACAGTATCTTGTGTTTGACCGACAAATATTAGCCAGTATGGTGGTCCATCTGTTCTAACTCTCGGAATGTTTTCCAAGATATCCATAAACCAAGCATTTGGTGTTGAACTAAAGATTTTTACCATGAGTGCTTTCTTTGTCGCTTTAGAAACATAGGGGTCCTTGTTTGGATTCGTCATTTTTTTAACCCATAAGAAATGGGTTTATTTGGCGCATTAGCAGGAGTCGCATCTAGATTTTTACCCCAGTGGGAACAATAGCCAGAGGTGTATTTGGAGTTGGAAGGAAGATTTTGAGTACATTAGGTATACTGAAGAGAAAGCACAACCTATTATACAAACTGTACAGAAAGGTTGGGATGTAGCACGAGATGCAGCAAATCTTATTCCAAATCCTGAAACAAGAGGAAAAGTTCAAGGATGGATGGACAATGTAGGAAGACAAGCAGGAAACTACTATAACAAAGCAAATGACTACTATAACCAAGCAGGACACTATATGGACCAAGGTGAAAGATTCTTTAACAGAGGATATAACCATGCACAACAGTGGGTAAACAACAACCAACCTCAACCGCCTCAAACGTGGGGAATGTAAAGTTTTTTACTGAGATGAAATGAACAATACAGCATTGAGACAAATGGGTTCAAGATGGATTTGTCGGCTTCCAGCAGTTACACAACCACGTGTTTGTCAAGTTCTTCCTATACCTCAGGAAGTTTTAGACCGACTTAAAAAACAACAACAACCAGTTGAAAACAAACCAAACTAAAATTTTTTACTGAGATGAAATGACCGAAGAAGTTGAAACGGTAGATTTGACACCACAAACAAAAAGTTCAGAACCTTTGTCAAAACCTGTCAAAGAACTTACAGATGAAGAGAAAAATTCAATAATAGAAAGTGCCAGGTCTGGAAATACAAACTCTAACTACAAAGTCACTTTTCATAAAAATGGAACGGCAAGTATCTCAAAAAAGAAACAGACTCTCACAAATAAAATATTGAAGTCTGAAGGAGCTTTCGAGACAACAGATGGAAAAGTTTACTTCACTGACCAACAGTTCATTATAGAACATCTCATTGACTTAGAGTCGAAATATTCTAAACTTTACAACAAACACAAAAAGTTGAAAGGAAAACAAAAACAAATGGCATATGATATTTATGAAGATGTTAACGACACAACTGTTCCAGCAAGTGAAGTAAAGTCAGAGGAACCGAAAAGTGACGAAAAACCAATAGAAGAAGGGGAGCCAAAAACTGAAGATAAACCAAAACCAAAGTTTAGTTTCCAAACTAAACCAAGTCAACCTTCATTAGCTGGTATGGGTTGGCGTCAAAGACTTATGGTAGCTGGTGGTTATGTTAAGTAAAGAGAAAATATATTTTTTTATTTTATTTGAAATGTACGCTGAGTTTGTTGGAGAAGACCGTTGGGAAACTTGTTTGTTAGATGAAGAGTATGAAATGGCATACCATTTAAAATAAAACATTTTTTAAAAAATATATTTTTTTATTTTATTTGAAATGTACGCTGAGTTTGTTGGAGAAGACCGTTGGGAAACTTGTTTGTTAGATGAGAAATATGAAATTCACTGTTGTGAGTCATTTGAAATAAGGAAGAAAAAGACAAAAAGAGTTTTAAGCGAATGTGAGCGAAATGACGGATATACTACTATGAAGATGAGTGGAAAAAACTATCCTAAACATGTCGTCATTGCAACTCATTTTATACCGAACCCTAACAATTTACCTTTTGTAGACCATATAAACCATATAAGAAACGACAATAGACTTGAAAACTTGCGTTGGGTCACTCGTTCTGAAAACAGTAAGAACATAAGCAAAATTGGAGATATTGTATTCGAATTTGTCGACGAACTAGAAGATGAAACAATTGAAATTACAGACTATGGTAAGCATACGTTTGAGTTTTACTACTATAGCGAAGAACAGGACTCTTTCTACTTTTATACCGGCGTAAACTATAGGAAATTACAAGTATATTTTACTAAGGAAGGCTATGCTTATGTAAACGCTAGAGATACAGATGGAAAATACGTTCGAATACGTCTTAACAAATTCAAGAAGCTATATGGCATACCATTTTAAAACAGTATATTTTTACATATATGAAATGCTTCAGGTTGAAAAACAAAGAACAAAAGTAGCAGATACAAAACCGTTAGACTATATCTTCACAAATGCCGGTAGGAATATTTCAGATGAAGAAATTTCATCCCGTTCTTACAGATTTGACTATCCAATTCGTTGGCTTCAAAGTCCTTCAGATGCAAAGGCAATAGGATTTAGAAGAGTTTTGTTTTCAAATAGAACGAACGCGTTTATGTTTGCAGTATATTTTCATGGTCAGTACAAAGGTTCTGATGGTCTAATAGAAAAATTTGACGAAATGAAAATCTTTACAATTCGTTCAGACGAAAGTCTTGAGAAAACTCTAAATGACTTCCAAACTCAAATAAACAAATACTACTGGGAATTTCAAGAAAAATACCACTCTTTACTAAATGGAACATACTATCTGAAACTAGAATATAACAAGATGAACTCCACAGTTTCATTTCAAAAGATTGAAATTAACCCTCCAAGAGATACAGAGTTTTTATATTGGAAAGTAGACAAGCGTTCTTGGGCACAATTTCTTCGGTTACTAAACCAGAACGAACCATTACCACCAGATGGTCCATTTAATTTTATACTTCCACCAGCAGATTTGACAGTTTATAGAAACGTGTTTGACCCTCAAAATGTCATGTGTCATGCAAGTTTCAGTTCAAGCAACAACAGTTTTCTTTGTATCGGTAAGGACTTTTATGACTTTGCTTCTAAATTCTACGAACCACCTAGTAACAGTTTCTCTGACTTTCAAGTTTGGTTCACAACAAACGGTGTGCAGCATATTCTTCCATTGTACTATGACTTTTATCTCGAATTGTCTTTCATATACAACTACGGAAAAGTGCTGAAAAAGTATTGAAAAATGAGTTTTGGTTAGATGGTTTTTAGGTGTGCCTATGTGCCCATGTGCCTAGGTCATTTTAACTTCTTTTAAAAAGTGTGACAACACGACATTTTGACAACAACACAGGAAATAAACTTCTTCTTCGTATATGTTTTGAAGAACTGAAGTGTGCCTATGTGCCCATGTGTGCCTATGTGCCCATGTGTGCCTATGTGCCTATGTGCCTCGGTCATTTTAACTTCTCTTAAAATTACTGACAACACGACATTTTGACAACATCGTAGAAAACACGCAAAACTCTTGAATTTTGTATAAAAAAAGCAACCCGCGGAATTCCGGCGGTTGGTATATTCTTCACAAAATGCTTGTTTTGAGGTCGAGCCATTTTTGGCCCCACCGTATTTTTCAACCAAAACTCTTGAATTCGGCAAAAATATATTTTAGGTGGAACCAGGTCACCAGGTCACCAGGTCACCAGGTCACCAGGTCACCAGGTCACCAGGTAATTTTAACTTCTCTTAAAATTACTGACAACATGACATTTTGACAACATCGTAGAAAACACACAAAACTCATGAATTTTGTGCTGAAAAAGCAACCGTCGGAATTCCGGCGGTTGGTATATTCTTCACAAA